TGCAACCTGGAAACCTGTCTAAAACCACCTTTGGCCAGCTGAAGTTCTCATCAGCTTCCTGAATCTCCTTCACCTGCATTAAGGATCTCATTAGAGGAATCTCCATTCTTTTTATAATAAGAATTCCTGATCCTGGTCCTGGAGGCCCACACATCCTCTGGTTTCCACAAGTTGTTTGATGAGAACATTTGCAAGTTGTTTTTTTCTTACTAAAATTTAAGTTTTAAGTTTTAAGTTATAGAATTCATGGCATTTTGTGGTACTTATGAAATCAATTTATCGTATTTCTTAGGTTCATTAAGGGTTGAATTTGGTAATAGAGAGCCTGGCTGGAACAAAACCCGGAAGCGGTTTGGGCCAGGACTAGGACTGGGAACTCCTGGGTTAGATGACACCACAGGGAGGCTAGCTGGTACCTGACACTGGGTATTCCTTGGAAAACAGCAGTCAAGTGACAGAAAGTGAAAACAGCTGGGTCTGATCACTAGTTGTGTGATGGAAAAATGAGGTGACCACTTACACAAAGGGAGACCCCATGGTTTTCTCAAGGTTCAAGAAGCCTTTTGAGTGTGCTATTTACTCACTGCCAAACAAGGGAAACAAATTGCTGATTTTAAGATTAATACAGTTTACAAACTGTACACAAAGGTTGTTGGACATCAGTCCTCGAGGATTAGAACTGCATACTTTTGAAATTACATGCCAATAGAAGTGTTTTAATTATTTAAATCATCCGCTAATATTGTTTGTGTAGATATATTGTTTGTGTTCACTTCGGAAGATAGGAGGAAATGTGGAGAATCAAATGTTTTAAATGGCTGCATAAATAGTCATCATTCTTTCAAAACTGAGAAATGTGCAGTTGAAACTTGGAGTTGATGAGACCTTTCTCAGTCTTATCAATACAATCTGTAACAAATGCCGCAGCTCATAATGTCCATTAAGTTAATGGTCTTCCTATTTAGGGAGGTATACATTTCCCTTCATTCTTTAGTATAAACTATGAGAAAGCTGATCATTTCTCCGCATTGCCTTGTGTGATATAGTGTTAGAAATCTCAAAAATGTTGTTAGGCTAAGCACATACCCCTGGGTAATCTAACTATGGTCCTTAAATTCCCCTGTCAAGGTTTTATAGGTCTTTTAAAAACTTCAGCTACTAAACAACAAGGAAAAGTGTCAACTTGTCCAATTAACCAAATAATGAAGTCTGTATGGTGAAGGTCCTGGAAATAGTACCCTTGAAATTGGGTGTACTTGACACTCAAGACTGCCTTAAGAAATGAGTCAAATAAAAGTATAAACAAGCTAAAAGATCAATTAAATCCTCAATTAGCACTTGAGATGTTCAGCACGGAAAAAAAACAGCTGGAGTTCAGCTAGGAAAAAAATAACAGACAGTTGCTTCCAGGATCAGCATTGAGAACCACTGTTCTAACCAACAGCAGAGCCACTTGAATAACAAGCAACTCTGCCAGATTACCACTGAAAGTGTTGCTTAATCTTTCTGGTCTGCAAAACTAACTTCACTGCCCCCACTCCCCCGCCAATGGCCTGCTTCTCCCCATAATTATTAACAGCCCCTCATCTGCCTACTAATGGTAACCTGAGCAGGAGTTGAATCATTAATTGGCAACTGCAAAGGCTGAGATAAAGAAAAGACATTGGTATGTAAAAAAAAATCACTGTGTATATTAGATTAACAGGACAAATGCCTTTTAATTTCAAGAAGACTCAATCATCCAAACACCTTGCAGAACGATACAGATATTCAAACAAAATATTTAGGGTTGAGTTTGCACCATAGATATATTTTTTTTTTTCTAGAAGAAATATTTGACAAAGTGAAACTAAAACACTTAAGTTGAAAAATGAAAGGAGAAAAATATCAAATGGCCAAAAGCAAACCAGAAGTAAAAGAACACATAAAACTGCTTGGTTGTAGAGATCTGAATCGATGCACTCCAGGCTGTGAGCTCAGTACATCATCCTAAGAAGCAGTTTGTCAATAGTCCTGTATATAGCCAGTTCAGAAGAATATATTCTAAAGTTCAGAAGGATTCAACTATAGTGTGAAAGAGTGAGTGGCTTCCTGAGACACAGGTGTAGAGATGATTCTCTAAGTAGGAGCTGTTTTCTCTTTCAGCGGCGGCTTAAAGATATGGTTGATGTTGTGCCGAATGATGAACCTGATACCTCTTCCCACTAAATTCCTCCCTTGAAAGCATGCAGGAAGAGGCCTCCCAATGGAAACCCATACCACAAAAGATCAGCCAAACAAGAACCCAACCCTCCTACACCCAGTTGACGAGTCACTCAAGTCCAGGCCTGGCTAACGACTTTTCGGTCTCTATGGTTTAAAAACCCGACTAGACCACAGCCTGTTCAGCCACAGTGCTCTTCAAAAGCATGGAATTCCTTCCCTGAGCCACCAAATCGAGACACAAGCAAGGACAAAACAGAAACTGAAATCTGCAGTCGAATGGACAGTGGTAGAGCTCACTCAAAAGAAACACGATACACACTTCCTCCTTCACATTCTCCACAAAATCTCAGATTCATCTTCTGGGGAAATGAACCATCATTCGTCATCATATGAAATTTGCTTTTCTTTGAAATCTGTTTTTTTTGTAACTTTTAGTAGTATTAATGTGCTCTCAGATTCATCTTCAGGGGAAATGAACCATCATTCGTCATCATATGAAAGTTGCTTTTCTTTAAAATCTAGTTTTTTTAAACTTTAAGTAGTATTAATTTGCTCTTTAAATAAGTTTGGTACTTCAGTAAAAGCTGAGAGAAAAATACATTTTCTGAATTTATGTAGAATTAAATGATTGTGTATTGTGCAAGTGGGAGTAGCAAAATAAAATTAAAAAAAAGGCCAGCTCAAGTGATGTCTCTACCAAATTTCATAGGTTTTGTACTCTGCTGATCTCTGTTCTATAAACTGTGCAAGGACAAGTGGCAGTCAGAACAGATTTCAAGAACCAATCCACTGCAGTAACAGCTATTTGCAGTTTTACAATCTTTTAACTGCTGCCATGACAGGGAGTTCTAAAACATAACAACAGATCAGAGAAAGTGCACAAAAGCATTGAAATGGATGTCTCTAGGCTTTCTTTATGATCAGGGTCAGTTTGGGTGAGCGTAACACATCTGGACATGCAACAGCTAGCTTTCACAAACTGTGTTAAAGAGGAAAAAAAACTCAGCATATCATTGCCTCTTAAGTGCAAAGCCCAGTCATTAATCTCCCAACCAGTCAAAGGTTCTGAGTTTTCTTCCTCCCTCTGCTTGAATAAAGGTGGTTAATGTGTACGTTACTCAAACCCTAGAAACCAAATCTTAACCTGCATGAGCAAAATAAAAAAAAAGGTTTGTAATCCTTAATCTTTCAAACCTGGTTCAAACCCGGCTCAGAACAGATCCCCTGGCTATAGTTTAATCTCAAATTGCAGTGTTTTCTGTCAGGGCAAAAAAAAAGTCAATGATCCTGTGAAGGGAAAATCCAAGGCAGGCTTGGATCTGCTGCAATTGACAGGAGAAACAAGCAAAATAAATGCTTTCTGCATCCATCACCAGACACCAGTATTATCTAGGACTTATATTTAGACTGTAAACATCCTGCTAACAAGACAAGAGTCTGCATTTCTTGCTTAGAATGGACTGCAGAACACCTCTTTAAAAAAAGGGCAGCACTTGCCTGGTGTATTTTTTTTCACTTTGTCCTTCATGGTGAAATGCACAGTTAGCACAAGCAGACTGCTTCTTCCAGTCACGCTTGCAATCTTAGCTTGGCCTGGCTGGTATTTTATTTCAGTTTCATTTCACTGAAAACTTTATTATCCTTCTGGGAGACACTTGTTATACAGCAGGGACCAAAAAAAACAATCCAACAAAAAACAGACAAATATCAATGACAAAAGGATACTTTACAACAGTGTTTCAGGAGATAAGAGAGTTGTTTTACTTTGTTTGAGAGTGAGATTGCAGCAGGGATGGAAGATTCCCTGGGTCTATTACCATTACACCTGAAGTCACAGAGGCATGTACCAAATGGGAGCAGTTTAACTATATACGTTTAATATTTATAAAGATTTTATATAAAAACTGCAGTCTTGACCTGCAAAAAATAGTGCAGCCTTTATCCTGATGTCAGGTCTTACACATATCTCAGCTTATATCTCAACTACAGGACAAGGAACCAAGCCTGAAGAATGTGAAGGAAAATAAAGGCAGGAAACTACAAAGGCTATCTGACTCTCCAGCCACTCCAATGTGGATCCAGGAGGAAAACAAAACTGATGGTCAGAAAGAGAGGATTACAGGCACATCGCTCATGTTCTGTTCCACAGTCTTTCAGCTGCTCAAAGGCCAGTGTTTCCAGCTCTTTTTTTGCTTCCAAAGACAAAGTTTGCTTACATTTCATGACTATTCTTTTCCTAACATTTGTGAGTATCTATATATGTAATAAGATTACAGTTGGCTCAGAACCTAAAAACAGATGATGTAATCACCCATCCATCCGTTTTCGATCCGTTTTATCCAATTCAGGGTTGCGGGGCAGCCGGAGCGTGTGCCAGTAGCAACGGGTGCAAGGCAGGGCACACCCTGGACGGGACGCTACTCCATGACATGACAGACACACACATGCACATGCTCACACCAGGGCCAGTTTTCCCAGAAGCCAACTAACCTACTAGTAGGTCTTTGGACTGTGGGAGGAAACCCACGCAAACATGAGGAGAAAGTACAAAAACAGATAGCACCCCAGGAACTGGGCTCAGGGCTCCAGTGCAGCAAGGCAGTGATGCTATTCACTGTACCACCTGGTCGCCCATGATGTAATCAAACAATCAGAACTCTTCTTACTCATACTAGAAGAACGAAACCTTGAGGATACAGCTGGCTTATTTTAAAAGCACTAACTTCCAAGTGTCTAGAAAGGAACAGCTTTCTGACACATTGCAACGGATGTCCGCAGACAGCAGATCACCTCACCTTCTCTGCCAGCAGCTCGCGGATCTTGCCAGCCTGCAGCCGGAACTTGAGCAGCTGGGTCTCCAGGGCAACGCAGCGCTTCTGCCAGTCCACAGGGCCGCCGTTCTCCAGAACATCTGCCATCCTGCTTCACCTTCTCAGCTCGCCACCAGCAAGGCTCCCTGTCCTGCAGCCCTGGGAAAGAGACTCCCCATTACACAACAAACAGCCATTCCCCGACGTGTCCAGGAGGCAAGGCTGGTGAAGAAACCCCAACAAAGACAGATTTCAATTCTTACCACTTGCCTCACCTCCCTCTCCTTCTTAACATCAATTTCTATTGCCTCACTTATTCGTTTTATGTATTTGTTTGCTTTAATAAACAAAAGGTTGTGAGTTTAAATAAATACTTACATATCTTAACATTTCCAACAACTATACAGACATGGCAGCAAGGTTGCCTGATAAACTGTAGTAGGCTGTTCAGCATCACTAATCTGTTCAAGTAGGGAGCTGCGTCAGCATGCGGAGGAAGCGAAGGAACAGGTAAAGGTTTATTCCTTGTTGAAAAAAAACACAACGTTTCAGAAATGGAGCCTTTTTCACACACCTGAAGAAGGCTCCACAGCCAAAATATTGTGTCCCCTTTCCTTTCGTCATAGAATAAACCTCTAACTGTCACTCCTCTGTTCCTTGCTGAGCCACTGCAGCACAGGAGTGATTTCACAAGATGCACAGCTGAGATATTTTATGTCGTTTGACTTTTCCCATTGTTATGGCTTTTGTAGCGTCTAGAACTGAAATCCAGGACATCCATTTTTCAAAAGAGAGAGTTTTTTTTGACAGACTTAACACTCTAGTCTAGAAGATCTCCACATCTTACGTAACCTCTGGATTCTCCATTTTCTAACCTCTTTATCCAACATAAAGTAGCAGGAGAGCTGGGGTCTATTCCTGTAAGAAATAGACGCAAGGCAGGATACACCCCGGACAGGACGCCAGTCCATCACAGACAAAGACACACACATACACTTAACCAGGGACAATTTTCCCAGAAGTCAGTTAAGTTAACAGCATGTCTTTATTCTGTGGAAGGAAACCCACAGGCACATGGGAAAACATACAAAGTCCACACAGACTACACCCCAAGAATAGAACCCAGAGCCCCAGCACTGCGAGGCAGTAATGAAAAACCCGCTAATTAATAAGGTTTTTATAAGAGTTGATCATGTGAGTGAAATAACCTGCAAGTTCACACGTAGACACTGTGGGACTTGGCCCTGCAGAGAGCCCACATTTCATTGATACTATAGACTGGAAATGAAATGCAGGCCTAAGAGATATGGAATATATATGGAAAACTTGTGTTCTAAAGTATCTTTGAAACCTTTGACAATGGCAGACAAAATTAGTCGAAACAAAACTTAAACTTCATTTTTTCAATGGGACTAAAACCTAGGGGCTTATTCTTAAATCACTTTAAGCTAACATTTGCTGTAGGCCCACTTTTAATCTCCGTGGTAACCTTCTACTGTATCAGGCAGCTGCTCTCTGAAAAGAAAACCTTGCCACTTTCCAAATAATTCTCCAGCCTTCAGGCATGGAAGTCTGGGAATTTGTTACCTGCATGATCCAAAGTAAGCGCTTTCTGGGAGCTTGGTTATTTTTTTATGCAAACTTTCCACCTGACCTGAAAGACATTGGTGTGAATTAGCACCGTTGGGCAGCAAGAATTAGCTGAGTTATGCGAGAACAGGGATTAAGCAAAGGCAAACAGAGAGAGAGAGAAAAGTGAAAAGCTAAGCTCCTTTTTTATAGGGAATATGGCTTTGAGGTATGGTTGAGCCAGGAAGCTCTCGTTATGCTCCATCTTCACACAATAAGCCCGCCTAGCGCTTCCTAATTACAGGGCATGAGTAAATTGAAGTGAGCAGGCCACAATAGGCCGAGTGTCCTTCTGCATGACAGTCTCATTACAGTGGAAACAAAAGCAAAGTGATCCAAAAGAATGAGTGCTTGGAAAAGGTGGGATGGAGTCTGGGGCCTCGTTACCTGTGAATGACTGAGCAGCAGCTATTTGACGAAGTGAAAACACACATCAAATGGGGATCTTAGACAGTCTTATTGGGTTTCCAGGATGCAGAAGGCAATTCAAAAGCCAGGCCCAGAGGTTGACAAACAACAGGATGTCTTGTCCTAAAAGCTTGCTTTCTTGTTCTCAGTTTGAGGACACAAACTCATCTGTGGTCAGTAAAAGCCTCGCACGCTCTTTCCACCCTTCTGAGAGAAAACAAGTCAGCAGTGCCCAGTGAGCAGTAATAAATACGGCAGCAAAAAGATGACGCAAACCCAGGACTTCCATAGTCTATAATCACTTCTCCCTGGGACTTACAGGACAAGCAATTTGTGGTAGTGTGAGGAAGCTCTAGTAAAATGGGCATCATTATAACACTTTTAGACAAGTCCCACTTGAGATATTTTTAGAATAACTCTGACAGAAAAAAATGTAAGAACCAAAGCACTGACTTTAGGCAAGTCATTAATGGTTGTGGTGATATAAAGGTTAAAGGGTCTTTAAATTGTGTTAAAAACAGATAAAGGCATTATACTGAGAACTAAAAACAAAATAAACTGAATGCATATTATGTACTATAATGTACAATAGAAAAACAAACTGTGACAAGATTTTAGCATGATTTGGCAATCGGTGAAATCAGATGTCCATAAGCCAAATACTCTTGAAAGGGGGAGTTTATCCTGGCACGTGCAAACAAATAATAATAAAACATTATGTCAACCAAGGTTTCACACCCCTTAAAGACTCCCCTTCTGATCTGACTGGGGAATACAGGAAGGGAAAAGAAAAATTAAACAGCAGGCAATCGTGTTTGAAGACTGGACTAATCTGTAAACGAACTTTACAACAAGAAACCGCAAAGCGCAAACACAGATTTGTGAATCCACAGCATTCAGAATTCATTTAATGCAAGAGTCATGAAGACAGATGATTTTTTGTTGAATCAAAAGGTGTCTTCTAATCCAAAAACAGTCAATGAATTTCTGAAAGTTTAAGGAATCAAAAACAGTACGAGATGACATAAGTATGGTGATCCAATTCTTTATATTTCAAAATAAAGATATCTGATCAACTTTTGTGGTTTCAATATTCTTAGATATTTTCAAGAATAAAATGTTTTTGATTTTTATTTGAATTTGAAGAAATTAGAGCACACTTAACAAGACAGTAAAATTTTAAAAGTTAACTTATATATACTGCATGCTTTGTGTCAAATTAGCTAAAAGACTACAGAAAGTTAAAATGAAATTTTAAAAGTTACATTCAGGGGACATGTCTATTCAGGTCTTGTTTTTTTCTTTCTGTTATAATTACAGCCCATTATCCCCTTGTTAAGCTCAATTCCACCACTGTGATAATTAAAAACCAGGCTTCAGACACGCAGTCAGAACAACAGTTCACAGCTAAAAGAACTCTTACATTTAAATAACTCCAAATGACTTTCAACTAATTTAATAAAACTCTGTGGGAGGAAAACAAAATGCTTTTTCTTGGTTGCCTCTTATTAAACATAGACTTATTTCTTTACAAAACTGGGAAGCAAAACTGGCTCCTTAACAAAACACTCAAAACGGGAGATGTGGATGCTGGAAACCGCAAGATTATCTTGGGTTCGTTAAGCATATCGGTTGCGGTAGGCTTTAACTGTGATATCGGGGCATGACTAAAGGCCTAGAAAAAAAAACCTAATATGATAAGAAGAGGAAAAAAAGACAGCAGACTCAGTCGAAGATTATTATTGTTTTTCTAGAGCAAAAGCGACCCGAGGCACAGATTCTGCCAGAGGGGGCAGAAACAGAGGTGCAGAGCAGCAGAGACAGGCTACAGAAGACAGACCTCTGAACAGTCTCTGACAGCTGAGCACAAACAGACCATTTGCTAGTTAAACACAGTTTGCAGGGATGTGCTAATTCCAACTCCTCCAGTTCCCGTAAGCTTTGTAACACCAGGGAATGAACTGCATCTCATCACAAACTCCAATTCCCCCACCCCCCTCCTATGGTATACTAGCCCAGGATTTAACAGAGCTAGCTTTAGAGTGCATGGAAACGACCTGATTCAAAATCCACGAACAGCATGACTCACAGCCTGTGGCAGCGACACAAAATGAGCTCCGCTTTCTCTCAAACATCACAGTTTAAAGCCATGTTTAAGTGGCAACACATTCTCTTCCTTCTCTTTTTTTTTCCAGGACTGTTGTGTTTTCCCGCTAGATTTGCGGCATCACATTTTCACGATCTAATTTCAGCTGACATGAAGAGAAATTCTGATGTCACTGTTCTTATTATGAAGTGGCACAGAAGTGCCTTTAAAAGTAAGGATACAAAAATAAATGAATTTAGTCATAAAATGTCAGCATTTTGTAAAGAATCTGAACAAAACATTGTAAATTACCATGCAAGTGTTTTACTTCAGTTAATCTGTACACCATCTTGCTTTTTGTGAGGATCACCATTCAAATTACTTGCAGCATTACTTGAATCACCTTTGATAGGTCTTAGTGTGGATCTGATACTGTATTTAATAATCTCATGAAAGATAAAAGACCAAATCACTGTACTGCATTACCAGTGAGTGAGGTAAGACATTGCTGTTCGAGCTGTGGGGATTCAAGCATGAATCCTTAAGTTCATGAAAGATGATTTTTTACAGACAAATACTGCAACTGATACAATTAAGTAACAGACAGCTGAGATGGAGAGGAAAACAGTCTGTTCTGCTCAAGGCCAGAGTGGTTCATAACTCTGTGCTATTTATTTATTGGACTAAATTTCAGTACTTTTACTCTGATCTTTATTTTGCCTTCTTGTCCTGATTTGAGACAACAACCCACTTGAAGCGTTTTACAGCATTTTTCTAATGTGGGGCTATGAAGTTGCACAATGCACAGTCGAAATAATCTGTTTTTCCAAAACACCATTCACTTGTAAAGCACTTCAAAAAGTAGCAGCAGGTCAAAAGAAAACAGTCAAAAGGCTAAACCTCACTCCACAGCACAAAGTCAATTGCATCCTGCACAACCCTACATTTACATTGAGAGGAAGGCTGTGCCGACTTAGATTGCTAGTTGAAAAACCAAGCTGGCATGAAGTCCTTTCATCTCCAGAAGTGGCTAAACGTCTGCCACTCACTGTGCCAGCAAAACAGCCCATGAGCTCCACACTATCCTCACAAAACAGTAGCACAATCTTATCCTATCATTATAATAATTTGCCAGCCTGACAGTTATCTTGGTATACTTAAAATGTCTAAAATTAACATTTTAAAAAAGCCCACAACTAGGGTGCTCAAAGAGGACTTGTCTGTTTGGGAAACTTAAAGCTCTACGGAAAAATTCACTTTGATGCAAGTTGTTTGCCCTCGCTACTTTAAGACAAAGTGTCTCTAAGTAACAGGGACTCGGCCACAATGCCAAAACTCATTTGCCATGTAAAGAGAGTCATGGATGTTTTATTCCTTTTACTTTCTGAAGTTGACCTCAATAAACACCTTCAAATGTCAGTCACCCCGAAGGAGGAGTCAACTCATTATCATAAGAAACGGGACTTGTTTGTCTTTTCAACAGCTGAAACCTGTAAGTCACTGCAGAGATGGCAGCATCCACCCACAGGATTGTTTGTTACAAAGAGGGCAATTTAGAAACCCCCTGAAATGACCTCAGCTGCAATCAGTTCTGGACTTGGTCAGGAAACCTGTGACACAGAAATAGCACACAAATCCTCCTGATGCTAAAATTGACAGTGATTTAAAAATAATAGCAGAGGTCAATAAGAAAATATAACACTAATTTGTTCATATCATACTGTTTGTCTATGCAACCCGCACAGATAAGACATATCATCACTATTCACCTCTCTTCAAATGTCCATTGGAGCCTGCTTAAGAATGCAAGTAGATTTTGGATTAAAACAATAAAACTACCATGTGGATTATATCTGAAGCGGGAAATGACACTTCCAAAACCCGATATTGGTACAGCTGACCCAGCAGGTCTTAAATGTCTTTCATGCCCCAGAGAGCTGGAAAGAGATGCTTGAGGTACACAGACTAAGCTCTGCTAAACCGTTTACTTCCCAAGACTAACTCTGTGTCTTGAGAGAATCATTTGCAAAACTGTACTTTTTCCCCGAATCAGCTGTATTCGAACCCTGGATATGGAAATAAATGAGATACCTGTTACTTCAGGAAGGATAACTACTGGGAACAAGTAATGGTTGATTCCATGCTGAAAAGAAAAAAGACACAACGTTTCGGCTGTGGAGCGGGCTTTCGGTGTTACTTTAAGTGCCATATGATTACTACTCCACTATTATATTTGGATCTCCAGAATGTATAGAGCATGCCGAGAGTGAAAGAAAGCATTTCAGGCTAGATCCAGTGGTATATTTTGGCGAAGTTAACGTGACTAGAGGGGAGTGCAGAAGTTGATACCTGAATCTAAAAACATGAAATTCCCATTCACTACGTCCAACTGGCTACAGCATGGCATTACAGGTTTTGAAGATCTCCCACCTTTGAGCTACACAGTGTCTCCTCAGACTGTGGTGAATCCTGAGGAGTCACTGTGGTAAACTCCTGTTACATCCTAATAGCAGGCTGAAAGATTAAGAGAAGTTATTACACAGCCAGCCCAAATAATTATTCTTCACTGGAGCAGTTAGACCAAAACTAACATGAACCAAGCCACAGATATGTGGGATTTAGAATCACTCTTTGAAATTAGAACTGTACCTGATAATTAAGTACCTTAGGAAGCTATGTATATATGTTTTAAACTTTAAATCCAAATTAAAGCTTCTGGCTTTCCAGGTTTTAACTTATAAAGACAAGAGGCCGCTCTTTATACAATGAGCATTTTGCACAAATGTTGAATTCTTAATCTTCCCAAAGTATTTCGGAAGATGCACACCAGACAATAAGGCACAGTTCCTCTGGCCAAAGATTTGTTTCAAAAAGGTCACATCATACAAAATGCTTCCATCTGTATTACCTCATCATTAAAGTGTTTCACAGGCAATAAGAATTTAATTCCACTTTCACATGCAACATAGGAAAAACTTTGCCTTCTCAAGCATACCAGACCTGCCATTTCTATGTTTCAGGAGGACAAACATCTCTGGAAACAGCCACTGAGAATTATAACTATCCGATTACTAAATTCAGTCAATTAAACATTGACAAATATTTACACTAGCTGTCCTACTGCCACGTACAAATGGGAATTCTGCATCAACCAATGGAATAAATGTAGAACAACAACATTATCCTAATAAAAAACAAACCTTAGAATAATAAAAATGTCACCTTCAAGCTCCAAAATATTTTGGAGATTTTGCTAGTTGAACAATTAATTAAAATCAAAATGAGCACTATTGCTGAAGCCCTATTGCTGAGCACAAAAATTAGCAATATTGTTGAAGAAGCAGGAGCTATGGATTTTTAACCATGTAAATTTTCTAACATCAAGTCTTGCTTTCGCTAAAATGTCTTAAAAATATCGCTTTGTCAAAATAATTGTATATTCAATGAACACTAGCAGCAGACATGCACTGGCAACAAACTTAAAAATATATAGACTATAAACATGGAAGGTAAGACTATGTATTAGAAATACTGAAATGTATATAAACATGGAAATGCATTGCTGGTAATAACTAAAGGCCAGTACTGCTTTCAACAACAGTCAAGTGCAAACTGGCCCTTATCAACTGCAAACTTTCACTTGGCAGGTAACCTTTATATCCAACAACATAAATACCATCTTGTGTGTGATGTGGGTGACAGAGAGAGTAGAACAGATTAGCATGCAGGAGGTTAATTACATAAACTTACGTTAGAAAAGAATTTTACACTCCCAACTTCCATCCATCACGTTGCAGATCTCTGTACCGGACACAGTGACCAGTGCTCTACAGATTTTCACAACTACTACAACACGAAAAATGCTGAGACAATCAAAATTGTACACCTCAAAAGTAACAGAACATCCTAAAAGAGGACCTTTGTATTTTTAAAGTTTCAAACTAATTTAAAATAATGTCATTTTTAAAGGTTTAAGGAAATTTTCATTTTAGACAATGCTGAACTGAGCATGGACGCCTATGAAAAAGTTATTTTTTTAATCCATAGTTTGCGAGCTAAGAAAAGCAGAGAGCTGTTGAAACCAAAGGAGCTGTTATTTATTAACTCCCATTCTCCTGCCCTTTCTAAAGCGGCAGCAAGTACACAACAGTAAAGAGCTGAAGCAAATGCTGTACTTTTGCACAGACATTTCAGTATGAAGCTGTTCTGACAACCTGTTCAGTTCACCCCCTAGGCGTGAGCCCTGTTTTTGGAGATGCATTGACCCACAAGGAGAGCAGAGCTATCTCATCGACTCATCAGCGCACTCGACTAATGCCCCGAGAGTCTTTCGTGGGATTTCTGAGCACAAAGTTGAAAGCAGTGATGTCAGGGATTAGAGCTGTTATGATGTCACCCCGCGAGACATTTCAATTTTATGTTGCTGTTTTTCTCTGCAAGATCCGGATCAGCTTCCTGGGGATTTGGCTTTCATGGCAGAAATCAGGAGTCTGGATCTCAAGCTAATGCGTGTTAAATCTGCTTCAGTTATAGAGCATGCTGGGGATTGTGTTTTAATAATCCAGGATCAATATTCAGCTCGCAGGCACATGGTCCTCATCTTGATTTTATTTATTTTTTTACTTCCTTTAGTGGTTATTGCAAAAAGGACCATACAGTACCTTTATAAAGTCTCAGAGTGATAAAGCCAGAGTTAATATAGCGCAGCACAGTGAAATCACAGCAATAGCTAGTCAAATCATCAAGGGCCTTGTTTACGTCTGATGCAAGCTGTGGAGAAGAAGGTAAAGAAAAGCACCTGCTAAGCAGAAAGTTCTAAAGTTATTTTGTAGAATGCAACTTGGGAATCTTTCATGGGGCCCTGTGTGTTGAAGTTTCTAGTGGTCAAGAAGCTCAGAAGGTACGGAGGTACCTTTCTGGAGCACATCCAGCTGAGTAGCACTAGAATCAGGCAAGTCCTGGTTTCCTACAGAAAGGTTTGGTTTCCAGTTAGGGCTCTGGACTCCGAACTAGAAGGTTGTGGGTTCAAATCCTGTGCAGGAGGGCTCTAGAGTACTCCTCTCTGATATCTTCAGTGAAATGTCCAACTCTACAAATAGAAGCTGTTTTAGATAAAAACATCAGCCAAATAAATGAATAACAACAGTAGCCTTCAGATTTGTAGACATTTAATTCCATGTTGAAAAGTCAAAAGACAGAAGTGAAAAAACAATGTTTTGGTTGTTGAGTTTTCTTCAGAGTACGTGAAAAGTCTCCCAGGCATTGATCAATGAAAGCCTGAAGTATTTCAATATAGCACACAGCTAGGCAGTGATCAGTTGGGGTAAGGGGTGACTGATTTATCAATTGGAATCACCAAAGGAACCAAACTTTTCCTTTCTTCTCATTCACATACACAAACATAACTCTTTAAATAACTCTAGTTATTTACATCCAGCATTGCAGCATCAGCACTGAATGCTTTCTACAATATAATCACGTAACCCTAACAATAAACTAAAAACAGAAACCTGTACATCTTTAAATGGCTGAATACCAGCAAACCATATCAAGTAAAAAAAAAAACAACAGTATTCTCAGATTATTACAAAGTTGACTAAGATTTAGTTAGAAAGTAAGTGAAGACCAGACAGATAAGTTTGGCCAAGTGAATCAAACGTCAGTCTATGTATTTATCCAACAAAAGACTGAACTCTTTCTCTAAGCTACAATGCCTCCTCCATTAGAGGTGAATTATCCAATTTTTCAATACTAGCTCTACACCAATCTTCTGAAGGACTGTTTGTCACAATGCACAATGATGCACAGTTCTATTACTGTAGCGTGAAGCAACCTGGCAGAGGCTAGCACTATCTATTGCACCACACACTGCACTTAATCAACAACCTCCAGGGGCTGTGAGGATTGGAAGCCCAGTCTGGTGATCAATGCACCAACACAGCAAACACTTTGCATTGTTTAATGTAAAGAAAACAACAGCCATCACCTGGTTCATGTCACATGCCGCATTAGTCTTAGAAATGTAGTCACCACTTAAAAATATACTATGATCTTCTCTCAACCACCCTTTCAAAATGATCATTTTGAACAGAACCTGAGAAACCCAACTAATGGTGAGAAAACATCCTAAACTTTTCTCTTCTCCTTTCCTGTTTCAGTATCTTTCTAACGCATTCAGAAACTCTGGCCAAACACCTTTTTATACTGTATGCATACTGTTATACCACCCTACAAAAAGATAACTGTCCCACATATCCCATGCAATAAATATGAACATTACGTCTAATTGTAATGCCCCATATGACATACAAAAGATGGATGTCGGTGCAGCTGGGTGGTGCGGTGGCTCTGTGGCTAGGGATCTGCACCTTTGGCTGGATCGTATCCAGCAGCCGGCAGTGGAATCCTACTCCGTTGGGCTCCTGAGAAAGGCCCTTAACCCCAACGACTCCAGGGCCACAGTATAAATGGCTGACCCTGCACTCTGACCCCAAGCTTCTCTCCCTGTCTGTGTGTCTCATGGAGAGCAAGTTGGGGTATGAGAAAAGACAAATTCCTAATACAAGAAATTGTATATGGCCAATAAAGTGATCTTATCTGATGTCTGCAACATTGTGGCTGTCACAGTTCCCTTGATCAGTCAGTCCATCAGGGCAGCTTAACTTTATTATTCCTTGCTGTGTACCATCATAGTCCTTAAAATGTCAACAGAAAAATAGGCAGGTCAAACACGTTTAACATGCACCTGGTGAGAAACAAAATAACGAGCAAGTACAAACCATACTCCTTTAAATCTGTTTCTTTCATCTCAATTACAAATGCTGTCTCTTAACAGTTGTATTGTTAGACCTGCTGGTAATGAAATTCCTGTCAATGAGTCTCCCACCTTTCTGAGGAAGCAGAGTACAGTAATAACAGGCTTTCTGTAAACTGCCCACAGTTATTATCAGTGTCAGAACCAGCCTGCAGCAAATATAGCTCAAGACATTCCACGGCACTGAGGTGTAAACATCTTCAGCACCAGCTCTCAGAAAGCAGTCAAGAGAAAACACTGATTCACACACACTTGTAACTAAGAATATTAAGGAAGCATCAATGTACAGTACTTGCTCAAAACTCATGGGCAGGAAATTATAGTGTGCTATTGTTTGAGCTACTACAATAACACGATCACAACTTCCATTTAATATAAGCTTTATCAGAGACAAAGATGTAACTGTGTGTGTTTGTCAATAACTGAAATTGTTATTACAGTGTCATAACATCCAGGCTTCGGTTGCTCTTCGGCACTCTGACAATCTGTCCAGCCAAGGAAAAGTCTCTAAAGAATCCTACAAGTAAAGGAACACTATTTTGGGGAGGTGGTTACTGACCTTAACTTGGATTGTTGACCTACTCAGTAAATAAACAGAACAAAATAATAGAACTAGGTGAGCTTGGTAAATATATTTAAATGACAATATACTGCATGATGTTAAATTAGTACAGTGCAATTAAATGTTGAAGGAAAGGAAAATACTTTGTTTTAAGGAAAAAGAACAAATCTTATTGTGAATAGTGACCTGTACACCTGATACAGAGGCTAAACCATTGTCCCAGGAGCTGATAAAGAAATCTTGTACTGTGACTATACAAGAATTGCAGATCAATCACTAGATTGATATTGGATGTATTGTAGCTGCTTTATCTGGGTAAAAAACGCAACGAAGGCAATCACTATATTCTCAAAAGGGCGGACTGACTAAATTAATTTTAGAAAATGTCATGGATCAGACCCAAAGCACACAGCTATTTAACATGCAAATTAGATAATGTAATATACATTCCTGCGATAATTTAAAAGCAGAATTTAATTTTAATGGCGCTACGAACCAATTAGGCTACTTTAAAGCAGGTTCTAAGCAAACAAGACAAAAATATCGAACAGGCACCTGTATGTATATTTTTAAATGGCTATCTATATTTTTATGTTTTTAAATATTATGAATGATTTGGTCTAAAATCAAACATATAATCAACTAACATACCTATTTATATTACAGGATTAAAAGTAGTAAACATAAAAACCAACAGATAAGAATAGAAGAAAGTTTTGTTCAGGTAGAGATTTCCATGGAGACACGAACACCGCGAGTCTCATTTTCACAACTTTGTAAAACAAAGTGTTGGCAAATTGTAATTCGTGTACTCCCCGAACACAGGAGAATTAATGGTAATTTACAGGCTTCTAACAATGAGCAGGTGAATCAGAAAAATGTACCATCTCAAGATCATAAAATTGCTTACTGTTCCCTTTAAAATCGTCCAGATTTGCGAATTAGCTAAATTCACCACTAGAAATCTGAACGGGGATTTGACTCGATCAGCACTCATCTCAAAACTCGACGTCTACAGTTTCATTGGATTTGCTGCAAAGGCAGAGTTCAAAATGTAATCCCAGTCCCCCAGCCTCTCACGTACGAGTACAAACCACGACACTCCGTGCACCTTCCCAGCATAACAAAACTTTTAGGATCCGCATTCTGCTATGCAACAGTATGAAACCTCAGCAGTTTATGAGAACAATTGAATTACCTTGTGGTTGTTTTTTATCCGCCGGATTGTCACATCAACACCTTCATGCAATCACATCACTGTACCCCCAGTCCCTTCGCCAGCTGGGACTCGCTCTGCTGTGTGAGTGTCGCTCACCGGCGTGTAGACTTCAGAGCAAGGTACCGCAGCGCTGCTGTCCTCATTCAACAGAATCATCCCCGATCCTTAAAAGGGGGAGATGTGGTATCAAGTTACTCTCAAAGCCAACCCCTCACTTTGTATAAACACCACAGGAAGTTGCATCATAGCTCAGGTTTATTCAGTATTTACTACAGTGAGATGTTTTGCGCTTGTACACCCCACTTACACATATACCACCTTAATAAAAACTAAAACAAACCCATAAATGACGTTACCGCTGAGTATACAGTACCAAACTGCGTCTCCCAAAACGTTCAGTAATTTATTGTTTAAACCAGGGAATGAACGGTGATGCGTTTCCATCATGTTAAGTTTCTTGCGAATCCCCACTCACCTCACACGGAATTTGTATTTTCCTCTTCATGAGTTGATTGATTTTTATCCTCATTGCTAAATATTTTATCTTCCCGTCCGTTATAATGTACCGCACTTGTCACTAATACAGATGGTAAATCTGGGGTTAACATAAAACTGTTTTGGGAAATACATTTAATGTAACATATACATACCCACAAGTATCACAGAGGCACTAATTAAAGGACATTAAAAAAGAAAAAAAATATTTGTAGAAGAAATTTCTAAAAATGGGTGAATATTAATGTATGTTTTTTAAAACCTTATAAACCTTATTAATGAGCTAGCAATACTTTTGCTATACATAGATCAGTGACAGAAAAGCACTCCGTGGGACTTTGGGTGAAACATTTCCTGATCTCCCACAATCAGAGCACTGATGGGTCTCTCCTACACTGCAAGGCATCTGATTGATGGTCATGTCTGCCATACATGACATTTGAAAGCTGTCTTTCAAAACACCAATTTTGAACGGAACAGCCTACTTTATCTCCTGAAAACCACAGGCTTAGGATCCAGTAAACCAATACCAGGACTTGTATAGTCTCTAAATCTTTGACATAGAAGAAACAAATGCGTTACGCATTTTTTGAGTTTTTAAGTATACTGTATTATTAAGTATTACGTTTTGGTTTAACCCGCTTGTCTGAGGGCCAGCCCCCCGGCCAGAGGACGAGGAGGTTGGGACCCCCATGCAGAATGAGTAGTGAACCAAGGGACAGCGGCACCAGTAGAGACAGAGTAGAGTCGGAATGCTGGAGGCAAAATTTTTTTTTTCCGTGAGATACTGTATGTATATATAGCAAATATCAGAAATGCTTATGATTGAAACAGCAGGGTGAAATTGTCTCACTTGTCCTCATCCCTCCTTAACTGCAGGGAAGGACTTCCATTTTGTGAAAACAGGTGCCTTTTTCAGCAGGTAGTGTAACAAGCAGGACAAACTGCTCGGTTTATAGAACGACCAGTACAGCGTTCAATCAAATCTTCTAGATTTACGGACAACTGCAGACATGAACCCTATTAATATGTGCCTTCATGCTGTTAGCATCCATCCGCTTTCTAAGCTGCTTTATTTGACAGATTGATACACAGGAAGCCTGGGCCAAACTTGGCTGGTAAAGGGCATTAAGAAGTCTGGACACTCTGGATGTGACGCGCCAGTCCTTTGCAGGGCACATACAGACACAAACATGCATTCAGACCAGGGCCAATTTTACAGCAGTCACTTAACTACCAGTCTGTCTTTGGACTGTGGGAGGAAACTGGAGCACCAGGAAGAAACCGGCGTGAATACAGGAAGAACATACAAACTCAACACAGATAGCACCCGAGGCACTAATCCCATGGCACCAGCCCTGCGAGGCA